AATTTACATGCGGAACAACTTACTCCCAGCGGCCGCGGGAAGCAACTTAGACATTTTTTCCCCTATACACTTACTTCTAAAAATTTGCTTTTCTGCCTATCCTATTTCCCTACCCCAAAAACTCTATAACCACCGTTTTTGTGGGACAAAATGTTGGGACTAGGGGTATATGAGTGGGCCTATATATGCTAATTTTGCCCTAAAATCCTTTAAAAATTTAATCACCAATTCGTCCGAATGACTTTCACCACAAGCCCGCATTACCACTATTTTAACCGCCAAAGGAGGAATGACCAACGGAACGAGGATTTAAAACAACATAATCAAGAACAAGGCCAGACAATCAGAAAACCCAATTTAATTCCTCCATCGCAGTGACTTAAGTAAATAGATAAAACCCTTGCCGCTGTGACCGTCAGGCCCGGTTCCATGTAGTTGGACGCCACGTGGGTTGAGTATTGTATTCTGCACGGAGCTAGTGAAGAATAGGTTGGAGGAAGTTGGCAGCTGGACGAGCGTGCGTCCGCAACCCAGAGTGCCGTGTCCGAAGTGTGAGAGTACAACACTCGTTACAGTCAGGTCATGTGTGAGTCAGTCTTTAAGATGATTGGTCAGATCCGACTGGAGTAGGCAGACACTGATGCGTGCGCACTTAATAGCAGCCCCAAAAGAGGCAGGAGACTGAGCGTTGCACGCGGAGTTAGGTCACTAAACTTCTCCGTCGGTAATAAACAGCAAATAATCAGTTAATATCCTTTTCCAACCCCATCGTTATCCCTCTTGTCATACCAAGGCTCGGCCTAGCACACCTTATTTTTCGTTACTCCCCAATTTTTTTCCTACCTATTATCTGATCACATAGCTCTTGACGTAATGCTCTCTTCCCTATCTGTGCTTCGACTCTGGTATCTCAGCCGCAGTAACGGGAAATTAGGACGTTTTATATTGTAGTATGTAGATAAATGTGTATGCCTTTTCCTCTATCGAAAATTTGCACTGTCTTAAAGGTTTTACTGGTATGCTTGATAAACCTCTCAGGCAACTTTGTGATGCGCAAAAGTACCCAAAATCTGGTTACGAAAATAATACTGTGACTGAACCCCAGTGGTGGCCGTCAGCAATCAGATGTATGGCTGCATTTGCTGTCCAGTGTTTTATCGGCTCGTCGGCTCGAGTTAAGTCTCCATATTGCGCAAAACGCTCTTTAACTTAACCAATTACAGGCAAATCAGTATTTACATTTTGCGCCTCTTCTTCCTTTCATTCACCGTCGAATTTTGTTGTTTTTTAAGAATCTTACGGAACTTGCAGAGGCGACGTTTTAGCACACTCTGGTCTGTCAGGAGGCATATAAAAGCAAGTGTCTCTCGCAAGACTGCTCAAATCCCAAAGTAAACATTGATCATTTGTCCATGTTTTGAAGGAAGACTCCAAAATGGAATATCTCGTTTGATTTTTTTAGCAGACTAAAACTGCCTTAATGCGCGTGCCGGTATTTTAATCTGCATTCATGTCTCATGGTATTCGAATCGCTCGGGACCACGTTTTACCTGCAAGTGCCTATTGGCTATCAAAACCCCACCTCCTATGAGGCAAGTTCAAGTCATGTTGTTCTTTATTCTTTGGCTAACGGACTCAAGGCGTACAACTAGACGAGATAAGACTGTTTTAGTTTTATCCATCTGGCAATTCTTATTTTCTTGTATTCGTTTACACTTGAAATATTGAGATCAGGCTTGGTACCCGGGGCTGAAAAAGATTATAAACTGCTGGAAAAGGTTCAAATGAGGGCAAAACAGTATGGAAATTTTGGAAGTCCTTATCATGCAAATGAAGACTTGACGCGCCTAAACTTTTCCCATTGAATACACGCATATATAATGAGATCTCATGCACGCATAGGATTTTCAGGAACATTGCCTATTACCCTCAATCTCCGGTGGTAGTCTTCAGCTCCACCTTCTCCGACTGTCGTTGTGAATCTTCTTCAAGGCTGCTTATAAACCCTTTTATTTCTTTCCCGTGCCTATAAAGAATAAATCCTCGTCTATTAATGTTGTAATGTTGCCAAAAGCCAAGATTTCTGTCAATCTCAGACGCTTTTT